GCAGCCATCTTGTTTTTTGAAAATGTTGTATTTTGGACATGCTTTATCAGTTTTCATTCAAACTTGGTACATAGATTATACATGTTAGGATACATGTCCATGATGATTTATTTCACAATTGGATCAAAGATGGCTGACTGGCAGCCATCTTGTTTTTTGAAAATGTCGTATTTTGGACATGCTTTGTCAGTTTTCATTCAAATTTAGTACATAGATCATACATGTTAGGATACATGTCCCCGACCGTCCGTGAGTTCCTGAGTCTGTCCGTCCGACCGTCCGTGTGTCCGTCTGTCCGTGCGTCAGTCTATCCAACGTCATATTTCAGAATCCTGTGGACCGATTCCGTTCATTCTTTGCATGTGCCTAGTACCTTATGTGGGACATATGCACATGCAGTGGTTTAGCGATTCGATTCAAAATGGCCGACTGGCAGCCATCTTGTTTTTTGAAAATGTTGTATTTTGGACATGCTTTGTCAGTTTTCATTCAAACTTGGTACATAGATTATACATGTTAGGATACATGTCCATGATGATTTATTTCACAATTGGATCAAAGATGGCTGACATCTTGTTTTTTGAAAATGTCGTATTTTGGACATGCTTTGTCAGTTGTCATTCAAACTTGGTACATAGATTATACATGTTACTGTTAGGATACATGTCCATGATGGATCAAAGATGGTCGACTGGCAGGCATCTTGTTTTTGTTTTTTTATGCGGTATCTTGGACGTGCTCGGTCAGTTTTCATTCAAATTTGGCACATACATGTACTTTATACATGTTAGGATGCATATCCATGACAATTTGTTTCAAAATCTGGTCAAGGATGGCCGATTGACAGCCATCTGACTTTTTGGTCTTACTACTATATTTCCACAATTTATGTACCATTTTCATTCGTATTTGGCACATACATCATACATATCAGTGTGTTTCATAATCAGATCAAAGATGGCTGAATAACGGCTGTTTTTATTTTGGCCATATTACTATGACACGAAACACGTGTTTTGATGTAAATAAACAATCTGTTGTATACGCCACTTGGAACTCAAGTTTCAAGGACACGCTCGCGACAACCCCTCCGCTTTAATATGACGAGCACAAAGAGAACTTAACGGGGACTGTGTCATTTTCAATGACTTGTCTTTCCTGATTCTTGACTTGTCATGGTGTGTTCATGATTTGTACAATTATCGTTGACCCTCCACCCCCCCACCCAAAGAAAAATATGGACTGAGTGCAAGAAAATATTTGTAAGTCTAAATTAAAACCTGACATTACACCTCTTTGTGTGATATGACAGTATGTTTGTAGACATCCAGAAAACTCTTTCCTTG